AGGCGCATGTGAACAGCAATGCACATTCGTGAAGTGCTAGCTTCTACTTCTCTTCGATCCTTACATTTTGATCCACAATTATAGTGGTAGTGAAATATGTGTGACGGAGACTCAGCTTTTGGAATGATATTTCACATTCATAATAACTAGGTGGATTTGAAGGGAATTGTCGTAATAAAATACAAAATATTTTTAAATTTGGATTTAACTTTTTTTCAATAGTTGAAGTTAAAATTTCTCTTAAGATATTACCTCTCGATATTTAAATAAAATATGTCAGATCTGCAGGCAACAAATTTATTTAGTCAATTAAATATTAAGGTATGCACATTTATTTATAATGCGCTGCACTGTTTAATTTTTGGTAATGTAATTTTAAATTTTTCATATGAAAAGACATGATATTGTAATGTAAATTAATTCAGATTGTCTACTTATACTCTACATTGTTATCTACATTAGTGAAAATTAGACATGTCTATAATTTTCAAAGCATAATTAGCTGTGATATTAAGCGACGATCAATGTATTATTTAATAGCAATCTGCTAGTGGAGTACAGGCATGTTCATTGGCTAATCATGCATTGAAATCTGTAAAATAAGTGGAGAAGTTCTCAGCTTGGGCGTGTCTTTATATTCTATTAAGTAATAAAATTAATTATGTACTATAGTGTGCAGCACATGGTGTGTTGTTGCTGTGCGTGTGTGCTGTGTAAATATGCCTTGTGCGTACACACACGTTATTGCAGCTTTAACACTTGAGATAAATATTACTCTCTTTAATATCTTTGCTACAAGTTGTACTTAATTGTATTTTATTGTACAAAATATATTAAAATTACTATCTATGAATTATTACTTAAAATTAATTTATAATAATATAATATTTGGGTGTATGCTGGCCCCTTGTTGCCTGCATGCAGCTGAACTTGTATGCTGGAACATCACATATTAAAGTTTCTTAGCCATATAATGTTTCGGTATATAAGGTGTAGTGGCTGGTCTAATTGCAGATTTTCTTACAGCTTCTATTCCAAATTTCACTTATATAATAAAATAAGGTTTAATGACCTATGCACTGTTGGAAAATCTCTTTTGGTCTGCCAAATAATCATTAATTGATGCAATAAGTTCATATTGTGAATACTAAAAGTGGCTTACATCATTTTCAAGTCAGTACTAAGTATTTTATCTCAATTCAGTGTGTAGTCCTTCATATGTTCTGTACTTTTAAATAAATTTTACCTATGTAAAAAACTAACAATATATTTAATTTTATTTTGTACTAATCATGGGAAGTGTTGTTTTATCCTTAAAAATATATTAACATTGAGCTCCATAATATTATGGTTTCAATATGTCCTTCGCAAGAAATGCAGAGACACAATCTGTATTAGGCTACGAGTTTCTCTAGAAACTAGGTCAATAGGCAGACACAGGGAATGAAATATTTTACCAGAGAAATGTCGTTAGTATTAGAAATTTATATATTGTTGTAGTTGTACGTAGATTGTTGCGTTTAAGCATAATCAGATGTCTTGCAAACACAATTTAACAACTACGGCAAAGTGAACAATAACGATCATAAACGCGATCGTGCGAATATCTTAACGTTGCGCTGTAACCTTGACGGTGGGGACTGTTGTTATGCTAAGCACCTTTTGTACATAATCGTTTGCATTAGTTATTGTTAAAGTATTAGCAAAAAATATAGATATGTAGGTAGAAACCATTTTTCCATTTATAACTTCTTCAGAACAGTAAATCATCGATTGGTTCGTAGTATTATCCGACAGACAGTTAGAATAATTTTATAAATACCTATTGCAAACAGTCTTGTGATTTATAACTAAAAAGGTGTTAACCATTTCAAAGGTGTTTGTTTCTGTAGGTAGTTAGTTACCTTCAATACAGGTTTCAAAATTAACGTGGAGCGAAATCGACTCGATCGACATTTTTCTTGATAAGTGTTAGGTAGATATTAATGTAGGAGTTAACTTATTATTAAAAAGAATAAGTATAAGTAATTATGGTTTGGGGGCGGTAAGCATAGTAGGTACCTAGGTAAGTCCTGTAGGAATAAGATAACCAGGAAAGTAACAAACCACAAAATACCAAGCGTCATCTAGGTAGGTACCTGGCTGGACAGCGTTTAGTCGGCAGTACACAGTTTCTGGCCACAGGAAAATATAACGCGCATTGATATAGGTACTTAATGATGAGCACAGTTGTTGTCGTTAATTCAACTATTTTCAGAGGCCGAACACCTTCACAGTTCCTGGTTTTCGTACAGAGGTCGAAAGTAACTATGTACTATCGTGTGTAATCAAACATTTCGTAAGTATTCTTACTATATAAAAAAAATCAATAGTTATAGATACCATATTTTAATCTGGAAAAAGCTTACCTACAAAAAAGCCGAATCTTTGTTTACTGGGCAAATAAGATGTTATCTCCTTTATGTAGGCATTGGCAAATTTACCGAATTAGGTACCTAAGTAATTTACCTGCCTAAAGAGTTTGCATGAGAATTAGTGCATGTAGGTATTTCGTACAAGCATACCAATAATACATATGCTCAGGTACCTATGTAACACGTTGCTATGTGCCTAAGTTGCTATAAATAAATACTCACCGATTACCCACAACTGATAATATTTTACGTTTTTATCCTGAATGGTTGGACGGTGGACATAACTCTAACAAATATCTATGGTTTTAAAATGTTATAGGGTGGGCAAGTATTTAGCGAGCTAATAGGTACCTACTAAATATTCTGTGACGGATGGTGTTACTTACAACACCCTGAAGTGAAGAACTGCCGTATATCTTCACAAAAATTCTCAATATCTGCCTCACCTACCTAACTTTGTTGGATAGCAAATTTTAATACTCTTAGTTTACTATATTATTTGCATAAATAACAATTTGCTATCGTACGTACCGTAAAATGGGGTGAATAGATACAGAAGAGGGGTGAATAAGTGTAGGGAAAAGATTCTAACATTTATTCACCCCATTCCTGTATCTATTCACCCCTCGAATTCTATTCACACCGTTTTACCTTAGGTAGTTGAAGAGCTAGCGGTGATACCTAGTAAGTAATTAAGTAGGCGCCCTGAGGACACGGTGGAACACACAGTCGGAGAATGCCCTGCGTGGGCTGAGCACCGCCGTGCCCTCAGGGACGTGATCGGCGACGGCGACCTCTCGCGTCCGGCCCTAGTGCGGGCCATGATGCGGAGCGAGGGGGTCTGGGGTGCCGTCTCCTCCTTTTGGCGGGGCGCATGAGGCGGCAAAGCGCTGCCTCCTCACAACCCAGCCGTCGCGAAGGACAATCCGGGCGTCGGGGATCGCGAGACGATCTCCGGCCACCGTAAGCGCGGGCCTGCGGACGGCGAGCATGGGTGTTCGCCGCCCGACCAGAACCAGACCCGAGCGTACGGCGCGCCGCGCGCGCCTCAAAGAGCCATCAGACCACCAACAGGGCTCATGCCGATTCGCAGTCGCGGAGAACCTAACGGGTTACCGCGGCTCCGGCTCGACGTGCAGGAGTAGGAACGGGATGGGTTTTAGTCAGTAAGAGTCTAACATTCCCTCCCGCCTCACCCAGGCATTCGATGATTTTCCACCATTAAAAATAAAATCCAAAGTTTTTCAAATCGGGCTTCTAATTCATGGGATAAGATAAGCGTGTTCAAACAAATCTTCTGCTTTATATAGAGTATAATAGTATATAAGTATGTATGTGTGTATCAAATTATTTTTTATGCATAACACGGTAGTCGAACGAAAGTCCTACCTAGGACCAAATCGATGATTTCGTATTGAACTCCTGGATTGGGTGTAGAGGTAGGTATTTGATATGCAACGTTCGATATAGTTAGTTAGGTAAGTACACGGGGTTTCTTACATTCACGATTTTTTTTGTAGGTACACGGTTGCCGCGGTGGCTGGGCAACCGACTGCCACGCAACGTGTCGATTATCGTGTTTGATTATCGCACGGAGCAACTCTTTGTGGCATCCACAAATTGTTGTTCGGAGACTGTGTGTCATTTGTATCTATCAGTGTATGTGAAATTGTTTGTAAACGCTTAAACGCCACCACGACACAGGAGAAAATCCTAATGTGGGTCAAAGTATTTTTGAAAACAATAAAAAATAGGTAGGTAGCATTTGTGTTTCATCACTATTTTTAGTATAAGTACCTAATCAACCCTAGTTATAAAAATAAAACTGTCCAAAAACAGCACTTCCGTGGGTAAACTGTTATCAAGTAGTTAGGTATATTTGCTTAAAATGACGTCTTTTGGCAACAGAACAGATAACCAGGATAAATCGTTGTTCGAACAGATATGGACAATATTAACCACAATGATCTTTTGAAGTTAACCAGCCTTTTAGAAACTAGGTTACCCCCAGTACGCTTTTATCAGATACCGAACGTAGTACTTATGTTTAATGTTCCGATGTTAATTTATTGTGAAACATGGACTGCTCATGAAACACGCTATGCATAATGTCGCCTACTGTGTTTTGTGTTTTGATCAAGGTATTTACGTCAAACCTATTTTTATAAGTAGGTTTAATATCGGCGTGTTTCTAGAAAAAATAAGTATAAATACTTTATTTTGTCCAAACACATAAGCATCGAAATGTATACTTCTATTACTAACATATAAAGTTGACTATTATCTCTAGAACTGCTGGTTCGAATTAAATAATTCTTTATGTATTGGATAGTCCAATTATCAAGGAAAGCAAATCAAAGATCAATAGAATCCGCGCCATAAAACAAACCACGTGGTAGCAGCTATTTTACCTAATAAAATCATTTCATTGCATCAAACCAGTAGTTCCTGAGAATAGTAGATTAAAACAAGCTCTTCAGCTTTACATATTATTATATGTATATATGAGCTTACTGTAGGTAGTGTTTCAGATCAAGTTTTGGTGGTCCAGTTACTTTTCTAAAAATTACAAAATAAAGTTTACAGTTTTTTGTAACAAGGATTTATTTTAGGTACTTAAAAACCTTAGGTACCTACTATAGGTATTCTTTGAAGTACAATTTCTTACAAACTAAGCGGATATTTAGATCATGTAATGGAGGCACTGTATTTTCTTCCAGCTCTTCTTCTGAAGTTATGTGAGAGTTCTTTACACATTTATTTACATCAATACATACACACTGTTCGTTTATATTATCATTAGTTTCATTTCTTTCACAAGTGTAATGAGCATGGGGATCAGTTATGGTACTAATACTATCTATGTTAGCAGTTAACATCAAATTAGAACTAGGATATATTAAAAATGCAAAAATAGTTAATGCTACTAAACATTGTATGGGCACAGCTGTGGACCAATACTTTTGTGGATAGTAATAAATATTGAAGTAATGAAGACAGGAATCTGGAGTAATTGCCCATATAAAATATATAAACATCATTGTTTGACTAAATAAATACATAAAGAACCCATATAGTGACCTTGCCGGTGTGGGTGCTGGAGTATGCTCTGGCATATTGACCGTTTCTTCTATAATATTACTTAAATTGTTCTATTGTTTTAACTACTAATATAATATTTTGTATCATAGAATTCACCGCTACTCTTAATTTTTTTAAATCATTGCCACTGAAAGCTCTGAAACACAAAATAAAAATGAGTGAAAATTAAGAAAATGGGAGTACTTAATTGTAGATTTTAATAAAAATAGGTACCTAGGTAGGCGAGATGAAAGTTAGAAAATCACTAGGTAGGTTTAAAATTAAAAAAAGATATATGGCCATAATATTCAACTTACATCACAAGATTTTCAGCATTAATTTCTATTTTTCTCTGTACTTCACTTCTCTTTAATTCTTTATCAATGCTTAGTACATCTCGAGTTAGAGACGCTGACTCAGCTGAAGGAAAAGGAATGGTCAATGATCTAAAATAAAAAGAAACTGAAGTTTCAATATGTATATGAATATCCACATAGATTCACATTTTATCATTAATGACATCATTTGCAATAGGGAAGCATAGAGTTCCCAAGTTGAAATATATTTTCAAATTGCCTCAAATATGTAGGTGATAATTTCGATTAGGTCTAATGTCAGTACTCAACTAATAATACTCACATATCCATATTTTTAAACGGAAATTATTATTAATAATATGCAGTAACCAGCATCAATACGAACCGTTATAGGTTATAAATTACGATGCGTATAGCATTATAAATATCATTGACTGATTATTTTATTGTTACAGGTCTATTTATTTACTAACTTCTTCGTAGGAAAATTATATATATTTCTGTATCTGATTACATATGGGCTAAGCTAAATAAAATAAAATTCATAAATAGTATCATGAATCCATGAAATGAAATCTATGCACTAGCTATCTAAATAGTAAATACGTGAGCATTGACATTGTCATTATTTTGTCAATGTCATTACTTTCGCCGATGACATTATTGACAATGACAAATGACAATAATAATATTTAGATATAATTTTATTGTAATAGTTGTAATTTAAGTTTTTTAATAAAATTACTTTTTAATAAAGATTAAACATATGTGATATTTGACAATCGATATCAAATTATTTTAATCAAATAAATACTTAAGTAAAATTAAAACTAACTATTATTATATTAAAACTAGTTATATTAAATATATGCAACGTAAGATTAAAATTATTTAAAAGAAAAACAAAAACTATTTGCGTAAAGCATCGACGTCAGATCAATACGATACAATCAATACGTACTCAGAATCTCGCTTTGCTTGTCTATGGCAATGAGAATGTGTGGTCAGTATTGTTTACTTGCCACTTTTATATTTATATATCTATCTATCTATCTATGGTATAAGCCGATGCATTAAAGAAAGGAATCCTAAATGGCGGCTTGTAGTTGCGTTGACAAGTAATACAGTTAGCATATAAAATTTCAAGTCGAATATTTTTTTCAAAATAGAAATAATAAAAACACGAACGGGCCGTATTTATTTCTAACACAGCTTAATACCATTTTCCCCTATACTTATTATATTCTTTGCTACCATTCAAGTTTTTTGTCCGACGACAGCAGAATGAATCGATGGAGTAGGTACCGACAGTGATCAGTTTCTTAATTCTTATACCGAGGCCACAATAACGTCAAAGTCAATGCCGATTATAGCGATGTTTACTATAATTATTGCGATAATTTTAACGCGTTATAGTGCGTGGCTACACTTGAAATTTCAACGTGAATGCCCATCATGCCAAACGGCAATGTAAATGCCGTTGTCAAATTATCGCGTCGACTCGTGGCTACACCTACGGTGAACGTGCATTATCGCGATGGCATTTCTCGTTGGTGTGGCCCGGGCATAATAAATTTAACCCTTCGGGGAATAGGCGTGATGTTATGTTATGTTACCAAAGTTGCGCGAGGACGCGGTACAAAAAGTCGACTGCCTCCTTGGTCTAGGTCGCCAATTTATTGCTGAGCACGTCGTTTTGCTTTAGAATTAAGTTTATAAAAATATTGAGCTTCTGAATTCAAAAGTTTCAGTTTGATGGCTGATAATGTTTTTGATATATGAGGTTAATTTCGTCCTTATACTGAGAGTACTGAAACGCTACTCAATTTTGACCGCAACCTATTGTTCTATAATTATTGTGTCTCTATTGACGGTACCCGACGAGTTAAATCGCACTTAAGTATAGTGCTGTCCTTACAAATCCTTTGTAAAATGACAGAGATGGCACGATATTTAACCGATAGTCAAATTCCAAAAATTTTGCACTGTCCATGAATTTCCTTTTTAGTGCTAATGGAAGATTACCTCTCTCATTAGGTCTTCGTAGACTAAAAATATTAATTCAATGGTGGTCTCTGATATTTGTACATTTGGGTTAGGAGATAGGGTTAAACTGTGAGAGAAGCAAAAAGTAGTGTTGTATTCATGTAAAAGATTTTATTATATGTTCAAACACAATTTACTATGTACACATTATTTTGTAAAAATATTCATTCTTGTCTTATTATTTATTGATTCATTATTTTTATAGGCAACATTATAAACATGATAAAAAAACGTGAAAACTATTATGTATGAAAAATAGAAATTTCATTATAATTTTAAATAAGTACACGGAATCAGTTTATTATGCATTCTATAAAGATGCATATATTCAAAATACATCAATATGTATTATATTATAAATATATCATAGTAGATAACAACTTAGTACAATGGCATTTATTCTCATAGATAATAATAATTAGATACATAATATTAATTCATTTAAAAGTAACGAAATGGCGTAACCGAATACTTATATGATATAATCGTCCGGCTGAACATCCATTATCCATATAATCCAGAGAGATCACCATAACATAGAAGCAACCTCACCTGATCACAAGAAATCACAAGAAAGTCGTTGGCGTAAATAGCTGGCTCCTCAAATTTATAATAATATGAGAGAGTAGGAGATATTTGCAGTTTTCAAGACTAATGATGCCGAGCAGATGCTTTACGACGACGAATCATCATGTGGCATACTCCACTAAGAACTATAGGATTAAAAATATTCACGCATACAAGTACACGTAGACGACACGTCGAGTACTAGCGACGTGGGCCCCAAGCGGCAGTGGGTGTAGGCGCGGCAGGTGCGGCAGCACGCGGGCCGCCCGGCATAGTGGGGAACTCCTGCGTGGAAGCTGTGTCGGGCGCGCGCTGCTCCCACGGTCCTCCTTTCACCACAAAGCCCGCGGCGCCGGGACCTGCAGCCGCCGCCGACGGAGCAGTCGAACCTGCGCTGCTGTTCACAGACTCTCGTTCCGAACCAAGCACGTCACCGAAATCACCTAGAGAAGGTGCAGCTGGTCGTGTATACCGATCGGCAACATCTTGCATCTGACAAAAACAAAATATATTAGTCATATAGTCTAACTATTATTTAATATGTGATAAAATATTACATGGATAATGCTTACATATTCTTCAGCCAAGTTGAGAAGGTGGTCTTTTGCATCAAGGACATTATCTTCGTCTCCAGTTATGACAACGATACTGTCGTCGCCTTGTTTAGGGAAGCGAATGTCGACCTTGTATTCATCCATAATGCGTCTGATATTTTTACCTTTGAGACCAATCAACCTCCTATGAACTCTTGGATCAATGTCGACTTCCTCTCGGCACTGATTATCCTACGTAAATAACAATTGAAAGTATGTAATGAAAATCTGGTTAAAAATAAAACAGAAACTGTATAACCTGTAGAGTCAATTTAATATTTAAAATTGAGATAATATAAATAAAAGAAGCTTACCAGCTGATGCACAATAGCCATTATAGCTTCCTTTGCTTGTAATGCCTTATCTTCATAGCCTTGAATTGTGATGATATCATCATCAGCCTCACCACGTTTTGGTAAGTTTATTTGTACTCCATAGTCAGTGCGAATCTTTGTAATGACAGAACCTCCCTTCCCAATAACGAGAGGATGATATTCGGGGTCAACTTTAAATTTCAACTCAAATGATCTAAAAATAAAATTATAAATTGTATTTTTATATCAAACAGAACAGAGGACAGAAGTAATAAGTATAAAAGGTTCCTGATACTAGGAACTTTTTATACATAAAATTATTTATGAGTCTGAACTCTACCCAGCTTGACATAACAGTAATGCAACAGTATTAACCTGAGAATCCTGTCTTCTTTCTCTTTCTCCATGTCAACAATTTTGTCAAGCAGTGCAAGTTTGGCCTTTTCAACATTAGTTGGAGTACCTGTAACCTGAATAAATGTAATATGTTATTATTGTTTGAATATTTTATATAAGTGTAATTATATTACTGTGGTTATAGAATAGATAGAAAATAAAAATGGGTACTATTGTCTCCTTACTTTAACAAAGTCACTAGGGTCATCATTGAGTGGAAGCAAGATGTGTACATCATATGTTTGCATCAGTTCCCTCCTCTTCTGGCCAGAGAGCAATCGGTGCAGTTCATTTGGAACCTCCACATCTATGGTGATTGGCACCTGGGAAACATTATAATTATAAATCATTGAGCATTCAATTCATTATGATAGTGAACTCAATTCTGTCTAAAAGCAATAATACCTGCTCAAGTAAAGCTTTTTTAGCAGCTTCGCAATTTTCGGGGCGACCAGTTATTCTAATGATGTCGTTCGGTCCAGGTTCAGCGCTCTCATTGTTTTCTTTAACGGGAACATCTGCGCCTTCAGTCGTGTCACGTTCCGGGAATTTAATTTGCACGTCGTGTTCAGCTGTGATGTCTTTAACCTTAGCACCACGGGCGCCCATCACTGTACGATGGTGCCTTTGAGGTATCACGCATTCTATTGTTACCTGTAAAATAAAATTATATGGTTAAGTAACAAATGTCACATAAATTGAAATAAATATTTTTTTTTGTATTACATACAATAAAAAATTATAATATGAATATAATATGATAACCTTTGCTTCCAAATCCTCGATGATTTCGTTGATACGAACTTTAGCTGCCTCAATGCAGTCCTTAGGACCTTTGAGTACAACACGGTCACTGTTAACTCCCTGCCTTGGGAATGAAATTTGTACGCCT